TTATCATCAAAAAGAGGGAAATTGATAGATCTTAAGTACTTTTGCCTTGTATTTTGATGATTTAACAAACATACTGATAAGAACCAGATAGGAAACCTGACCTACTTGGATTGATGCAAACTTAAACGGATTCCAGCTAAGGATGAACTGCTACAGATTCAGGAGCTAGGAACCAATCAATGACCTATTGTTGTGGTTCCTATGTAGTAGTACAAAGTCATGTGGACATAGCTGGAACTGAAGTGACTAACGGCACTGCTTCTGCCACACTGCAATACACTGTCAGCTCACTCACTCTCTAATCAAACAAAGTACTCACATCACCTCAAGTGATGTGATCAAGATGTACCCGATGAAGCTTTATACAAAGACATCACTGGAAGGTTTCTGTTTCTCATTCAAGCTTTTTGCAAAAACAGAAAACTCACCATCCTCTCAAGCTTGAAAAACAAGGTTGAAAGTCATTACGGACCAGTTCCTAAAAGATTCATTGTTGTTGTCCTAGTTGAGTTGTAACCTTGTTATTGTGCTTACTATATCTCCTAAATCGCTTACTTAGAAGCATACTGATTAAGAGTCCTCTTGTAAATCCTCAAACGCGCAGAATTTAGGTTATGATTAGATTTAGTCATAAAGAAAAGTCTTTGTAATTGTAGAATTACAAAGTGACTTGGGGTGATAGCACCACAACTTAGAAAAAGCCTTTGTAACTAGGATAGTCACAAAGTGGCTTGTGGTAAAGGTACCACAAGTTAGTTGAGTAAATCCTTTGCAATCGGAAGTATTGTAAAGTGGCTTGTAATAAGTAAGATTACAAGTTAGTAAAGTTAAAAGCCTACAGGTGTAGGTCGTGGTTTTTTGATCCCCTTGTGCGGAATTTTCCACGTAAAAATCCTCTACCTCATTTACTAAGTGCTCTCAGCAGAAACTTGTAGAGGACCAGGTACTCTATGACTTGGTGGACCCATACAAACTATCACTTATGTACTCTTAGAGGCTTGTAGACAGATGTCATGTATACGAATACTTGTATGGCCTTGTCGGCCTATGTTTTGAGTTTGTAAATGATCATATTGGCCCATTAGGCATGTATGTCACATGTATATGATGATGTAATAAGAAAGGTACGTTAAGTTGGTACTCGGTTGAGTAAGGTACCGAGTGCCCGTCGCGGCCCATCGGTTTGGGTCGTGACAAATTTGTAATCTGAAGTTTGCTCAGTTAGTGAGTTGAAATCCTACAAGTGTAGGTCGTGTTTTAATCCTGTGAGCTGGAAGTTTTCCACGTAAAACTCTATTGTGTCATTTACTTATCTCTGATTGTGTGTGTTCTGTAGGAACTTATAGATACCAAGTTCTCTATACAGTTTGGTGGACCCTAAATTTTCATTAGAATACCCTAGATAAAAAATTTGGCTTCGCCACTGTCATAACGTATGACACAATACCAGTATTAAAACTTAATTGGATTAGCTGGATATATACACGCTATAGAATCTACTTCTAGCAAGCAGATGCTAGAAAAAATTATGAAACTAATTGAAAGTATTTAATTACTTTATTAATTATATATAGTCCGTGTCTGTTACATGTTCCCCCGTGTATGAAGGCATGGCGTGTGAGTGCTAATGATTAAGATATGTAGTTTCAGCTAAGTCACGTGTATTAGTATAGCATCAATTTAAGCACTTTAATTCGAATTAGTTAAGCTCCTTACTTATTTTCTTAATTAAGAAAGTTGGATCAAGGCTAAATCATTCATCCAGTGACTGGTGTTTTATGTATTTCGAAATTAACAGTTCATATTTCGATCTGAAATTAATTGTCTAACATAAGATCTGCGACGTCATCCAACATAGAATCTTGTGCCACATCGTACGTGTTAAATCTAGAAAATACAGATCAGATTAGAAAGGGCCACCAAATTGTTGCTCCATATTTAATTTCTTTTCTTATGGTCAGGGACGGATGAAGGTTGAAAGCACCGGATTCATTTGAATCAATATTTTCGACATGACGTATAAATTGAAGTGTAAAAAGCCATTAAAATTATTTTAAAAAAATAAATTATCTGGTCTACTTTAATTGATTTTTTAATTTTTTTTTACACATATTGAGGAATTCACCTTTTAACATTAACTAACAATGAAATTAACTATATTAACCTTAATTTGTTCATTGAAAATATATCAAATGCTCCTAAGCTCTCTACTTCAACTTCAAGAGCAACTTTAAAAAAAAAAGTTAATTTCTTCTTAATATTTGGAAAAATTAAATATTATGGACGATAAAAAAACAGAAAATCAATTAAAGTAGACTAGAGAAAGTAGCGGATATGAACTCAAAATATAATGCGTTTTAACCGTAGAGCTTAAATTTTAATCCGTCTCTGCTTGCAGTTCTAACTTTTGTGAAAGAGAACCAAAAATAAATGGGCAAGTAATTTCTTTTTTTCTTAAATAAACTTATAAGAATACCAGATAGATTGTCTTTCAAGGCAAACTAGGCATTTTTCAAATCACGAAGTTCTCGAAACTCTGAAGTTCAAAAGTTTTAAAAAGGGGTCAAAAGTAAGGTCAAAAACCAATTTCTCCAAATAAAATATTTTTGACTTTCAGCTTTAATTAAACGAATGAGTACTAGATTTACGAAAGTAACTTCATATGAAAATCCTAGGTGGCTAAACTAAACTGAAAACATTTGGCAGTAAACATGATTAAATTTTGTGGAGGGTGACATTTGAACGCAAAAATATATAGAGGAACCACCACATCTTATAGTGGATTGATAAGTACTCTCTTCAATCCACAATAAATGATTAATGATTTTGGCACGTCCATGAAGAGAATACTAAATTCTATACAAAAACATCTAGTATGACTAAACTACCCTTAATTAAATATTTAATGTGAGGAATACGAAAACTTTTTAGGGATATGTACATAAGGGTAATCTTGTAAAAACAAATTGAATTCTTTCTTAATTATATAAATGGACAATTATTTTGGACCAAAATTAAAAAGCAAAGTGATCACTTATTGTGGATCGGATGGAGTATTCTTTTATTCTTAACAAGAGGTTTCAACTCCGTCTTCCAGAAATGAAGTCTTTTGTTAAAGAACGTTTTACCTTTAACGTGAGACTTCTCGACACGAATTTGAATTTATCAGGCCTAAAACGAATACCAAACACCATATGAAATTATCAGACATGTCAACTCATTTTAAACGTTTTTTCTCCGGCTTGTGTGAACCAGTAAAAAAGAGACCAAATAAGTTGTAAAAATAGCACGGGCTAGCCAGTTTTTAGACTGGTCATTCAAAAATAGCCAGCGTTTGCAAAGTCATTGAAAAATAGCCACTATTTTGCTGCAACATGGAAAGTTCCAGCATAATATACTGGAGAACCGGTGCTCCAATCTCCAGTATATTATGCTGGACTGGTATATTATTCCGGAAAAATACTCCAGTATATTATACTGGAGTTCCATCATAAGCATACTGGAGTATTTTTGGATTTTGAACAGTGTTTTCGTTCAGATTTATCTTTACATGAAAAATAATTAAATTTCAATTACTTTTAAAACTGTGGCTATTTTTGAATGACCACTCGTAAATCTGGCTATTTTTGAATTTCCCCCAAATAAGTTACACTTGAGGAATTTGGGAAAATGCATATTAGGAAGTTGGTTTGCCTGCCAAATCGTAAATGAAGCAGCTGAAGGGCAAGTGGGCGTGTTATGTTTATTGTTGGCTTTCACGTCGCTCTTTAGTCTTTACAATTATAGTAGTTGGAAGAGGTAGGATCAAAGGATAGGATCCTTACATATTTGAAGAAATCACAAAAGATTCACAATCTTATGCCAAGTGTTGAATTTTGGATGGGGTAATTGTGGAAGACGGAATTACTTAAGTGGAGTAATTAAATTTGCTGACTTTGCGTCACAGGGACAACTAGATATTTAGTTGGGCATGTACTCACGTATGAATTTGCTGATCACTTATTCTCTTCAAACTAGTATTCCCTCGTACACGATACTAAAAATATATTTTTATTTTTAGTTGTCCACTATAATAAAATTAAGAGGAATACAATCTTTATTTTTCTATTTTACCTTTATCATTAACTACTCATTCTCCAAATCATTTTTCAAAATTTTTGAAAATACTATCACTATTATGGGTAAAATCATAAAATAAGTATTTCATTTATTGTTTCTTAAGAGGCGTGAAAGTTCAAAATGGACAACTAAAAGTGAACGGATGGAGTATTTTGGTACTTGCTAGGGGTTGGTTTTAGCTTGCATTTTAAAAGGAAAAAAGATCAGACTGAAAAATTTGGAAAGTTTCATCTTTTAATATGATAAATCTGTCTCTTGTTGAAAGACTAAACTATATGGAGATGTTTTTTTATTTTATTTTGATTGACGTTATGCTTGTCTGGAGTCAATCCCCATCAAAAAGTGGAATATACAAAGAATTCAATACTAGTATCCATTTTGGTGGTTCAAACTACTCTCTTGAAAAGATACTTACCAAACATCTTCCCTAACTCCCAAACTTAATCTTGAAAGTCATTACACTCCATATAAAACAAAGGATCACAATCCAATCTACCGCATCTAACTTCTTACTAAAACATAAATGATAAGAATTAGTTTTACCCATTTAATTATACCCATTTTTTAGTTGGCTAATTTGACTTTTTATGAACAATTAACTAATATGACCTGGCTATATAAAAAGAATTCTTTTAAATTAAACTCATTTTGATATACCAAAGGCTGCCACATAGCGACAAGCCAATTGGCCAAGTAATGGCAGTCCTCCAGCCTACTCAAACTGCCGTATAGCCACCAGCATTTGGCCACGTTGTGAATTCTCGTTAAAGCAATCGTCAAAGTTTTAGAGAGAAAAGAGAGGCCACCTAAGCTCTACCCAACTAATTTGGAGTTTCCTACTTTCACCATATTATATATATATACCTCTCTTGCACCTTCTAACTAACCAAAAACAGAACACTTACGAAAATTCTTATACTGCCTGCCAATCTTCTTATTCTCTAAATGGATTGGACCAGAGGGCATCCCATAGGCCACGGCTCTTCTGCCGCCGTCTCCGTCGCCAAGGCACGTTGCTCCGATGATGTTTTCGCCGTCAAGTCAGTGGAGTTATCCCAGTCGCAGTTGTTACAAAAAGAGCAGACAATTCTGTCCGAGTTGAGCTCCCCTTTCATAGTTAGCTACAAGGGATACGATGTTACAAGAGAGAACAATACGGTCATGTTTAATCTTATGATGGAGTACATGTCTGACGGTACACTTACTGATGAAATCCGGAAACAGGGTGGTCAGATCAACGAGTCGTTAATCGGGTATTATACCAAGCAAATTCTGCAAGGAGTAGAGTACCTACATTCAAGAGGCGTAGTACACTGTGACATTAAGGGACACAACATTTTGTCAGGTAAAACCGGTGCCAAAATTGCAGACTTTGGTTGTGCTAGGCGGGTTGATCAGGCGGAGAGGGACGCTGCTGCATCCGCCCAGCCAATTGGCGGCACGCCGATGTTTATGGCACCGGAGGTGGCGCGTGGGGAAGAACAGGGGTTTGCAGCTGATATATGGGGATTAGGA